AAATACATACAAACAAAATTATCATTTGTTATTGGAGTTATTGCTGTTGACTTTTACTGAAAAGCATTTTTAATAAATACATACAAACAAAATTATCATTTGTTATTGGAGTTATTGCTGTTGACTTTTACTGAAAAGCATTTTTAATAAATCAACTGTTAATATCATGTTATTGTAGGATTACCTACGCCTATGCATGGGAACAGAGATCCCCCGCCGCCGCCCCCCCGCTCCAAGGTGTCCTGGTTTTTCAAAATGAAAATATGGTCACCCTAGTTAAGGCCAATGCTGAGACAGATTATTCTGTAACTATCTTTGATGTGTTACCCATTTTTTGGGAAGCCATTGTTAAATACAATGTTGATTTTGTCTTCCTTTAACATAATCAAAATAACCAATTAAACCAAATGTTACAAAAGTTTTTATACAAAAAAGATTGTATAAAAGAAACATTTATTAACAAATCAAACTAAACATCCACGATGCATAGTAAATGAAGGGGAAGGTGATGTTTGTGCTATTCAGTGGTTCCTTAAGTGGGGGAGAAATAAATGATCCATTTTTAAAGTTGGATTGATTAATGAATTGATACAGTAGGAATGTTGAACTCTATTGTGCAGTAAAATGAACAGTTACATTAAAACTGTTGTAGTTTTAAAGTGGTAGCTGTGTGATTAAAAGATTATTATAAAGTCTAAAATCTTCCTGAAGTGCACTTAAAAATTCTGATAATAGCAGTTTTTCAAAACATAAACAAGTAGCTATTCTCCATGCAGATTTGTAACGTTATATGGGTGCAGATTCAAGACCATGAACCACTAATATTTCACATTATGAATTCATGCTGCTTCTCTGCCCTCTTCTAATTTCTATGCACCTGTAGAATATCTTCTACTCACCTGTGGATCTGTAACTTTTGTCACTTTGAAGGAGGAAGCAATCAGAGAAAGTAAACTGCCTGTGATTGGCTACTGTTCAGGAAATCCTACCTTTGAGACAGTAGTGTTTTCTTCCTAATTACAGCTAGTAACGTCTGCAAAGCATCTTTCGGCTAATAGCTAACCGCTTCAACAGTTGAATTTTGATTTCATATCCAAAAACCATCTCTATCTTTAACTTACAATTTCATGAACACAATCATAGACACGAAAGAAAGAAAAAAAAAACACAGAAGCTGCAAACTGATCAGAAATGTAAATGTATTCAGTTATAAAGTTTATTTAAGCCTCACTTTCTTCAATGTAAACAGATAAGTTAACATTAGCTTAGCTCAAACAAATTTCTAAATTTAACATAAATCATTTTAGAGCTTATTGCTACTGCAGTCAGAACCCATTCGTTACTGTTAAACTAAGTTGTTTAATGATGACTTCAATTAAACAATTATTAACATTTTAAGAGAACAGCTATTAGCTTATAGATGCTATGCTAAAGTTTTTAGCCGCAGCTAAGAAGAGAAACCATCTCAAAAGGCAGGATAACAAGCAAGCCATGAGCTCAGAAGAGAACATTAGCTAATGCCCAGGAGACATTAGTGGCCAAGTAGGTCTCGACAAATAAAACATTTAAACTACAGGGCGCGTTTTAAATAAAACTGCTTGTATGAGTATTTTTTACATGTGTGCATTTTTGGAAAAATTCTGACTTGATAGATGATTGTTCCTTTTATTCCAATATTTACTGCAGTTGATTTTTCTTTGTTAAACTGTGGAAAAAAGTAGCCATTATGTCGGGGTGTAAGCTTAGTTTTGAGCTCCCATCTAGAAAAGTTTGGGAGCACCTGAGCTATAGTGACCTGAAGGCTGAAGAACACGTGTACGCATCAACTGATGGCGATAAAAGGAAAAAGAGCCAACATTATCCAGAAATGTCAGCTGGCCGATGTAACAGTCTATTTTAATATACATACACCATCCCCCTAAAGTTGGGTCTAGTTATTAATAATATATTACAGCCTTGCTCCATACAGCTAGAGAGAGAAATTCAGCTAGAGGGGTTATTGAAGAAACCACCAGGAAGCACTTTTTAAAGCTTAAATTATAAACACAAGACACAGTGAACCAGAGACATCTTCAAGACAACTACCGTCTTTACTCATGTTAAAGGGTCTAAAACAAGCTAACAAATGATACCCTAGAAACAAAGCTAAACCAGATAACCTAAAAGATTAAGAATGAATAAAGTCATGTGACAGACAGTCAAGCACAGCAGCCACAGTGAAACCTCAGTGTAGATACAGGTTTACATTCATTCTTTCTTGCTTTTAGCCTTCAGAAAAAAATCTAAAATACCTGAAGCAGCGTAAAACACTAATGTTTGGTTTTATTGTTCAAATCTGAAAAGAATAATCTGTTTCTTTTAACCAATTAAAAATAACAGAAACCAGGTAGAAAGAAACATAATTTTAAAGTTATGAAAAGGAAAATGTTAAAAAAAACAACAACAAAAAAACGGAGACGTCAGCGAGAAGAGAACTCCTCTAGTCCTACCTGGACAGTGGATGAAGGACCAGTTATATTTGGCTTCACTTGGACACATGCTGGAGTTTAGTGAAGGCTGCGGACTGGCAGGCAGACCAGGCGAGGTGGACGGAGCCGGGACCAGAGTCTGGAAGGGTCCTCGATAGGAACCCTCGATGCACTGGCCCTTTCCTGTGTTACTGGGGTCCGTGCACCAACCGCAACCTGGCTGGTCCAAACACTGACCACATGTCCTGTAGCCAGAACAGTTTTCAGCTGCAGCAAAACACAAGAGAACAGCAGGACTGTTAAGTTATAAATAAAACAGGTTTCATCCTGAAAACTGAACCATAAAGTAACAAACCAACGATCTAATCCTCTGAGGGGTATGATTTAAGATGAAATTAGATTAAATTTTAAAATTCCCAAAGGAAATCCTTTATGGTCAGGTGCTTCACACATGACCTAAAGAGCATTCATAATGTAAAGTGTTACCAAAACCATTAAACTATGCTTTTTATTATTAATAAAGCGACAAGAACATTTAAAAAAAGGTCTTCTCATCGATATCAGGACTTAAAGCAGATTGTCCATTTCTATATATATACTGTATAAATAAAACCCTAACAGCTAATGTCTCTTATTTAACACGATTACTGCAGAGGGTTATTACACAGGGTATTACCGGTAAATGGGTATTTACATAAAAAACATCAGTGAGCACCTGTACCGGCGCATCCATAGGATGCGTTTTTAGAAGCAGTTTCCTCTCGGGGTGAAACTGCTTGGACCGTCTGATGTTCTCATGTTTAAACATGTTATAAATGTTGCTACTTCTTGAATTCTTCAGCATGAGGAAAATGTATTTTATTTTCTCATTTGTTTAAGAACTCTTTACATCCTTTTTGATCACCCTGTTATAAACCCTCAGGGTCTCAGAAAGCGCCAGTAATATCAACCCTCAGGTTCACTCACACTTTAACAGTCAGGATTAGAGAACATTAGGTAATGATGAAGGCCCAATAATATCATTATGATTTATCAAACAACTCTTTTATTTTTGCTACATAAAGTGGAGGTTTTGAAATTCTACCTTGCTAGAAACTGCATCTCAGTTTAATTGTGATTTTTTTTTATTCATTTAACTCTTTTGTTCTGCATCTTTTACATTAAATATGATTTTGTCTGAATGTGTTAAAAAAAAAAAAAAAAAAGATTTTGAAAAGCAACCTTATCTTCTTTCCAATAACTCAGATATTTTAAACAGCAGAATATTTGGCTTCTATTTAAACACGCCTAAATTAGCAGTGAAATACAGCTTATGTCTTGTGTTGATTCTGAATAAATCATGTTCTGTGCAGCAGAGGAGATTAGAGGGGATTACCAGCATAAATTATATTGTTGCATTATGCACTACATACTATACTGGGACTGAACATGTTTGTCATTTCTACTTTTCAGTGTGACTAAGAATAACAATGAGCTTTGGATTCAAACTGTGGCTCCATATGAAATAAAACCACCAGAAGAAGACGTCTTACGCGGACAGCTGCTCAAAGTGTACCACTCCATGCATTGCCCAAACGGGAAGGAGGCAACGTAGGCGTTGGAGTCGACGCACTGCTTCATGTTGCTGCACCACATGCACTCCGAGGTGCCGCTGGTGCACTCGCTGCAGGTGTTCCGCATGGCACACGGGCTCTTGCACTGCTTGGCACTGTGGTTTGCTGAGATGGGAGAGAAGGGAGAGATTTAAAGCAACGGACAGCATCTCCCCTAGAAAAAAAGGAACTCAGAGATTAAATTAGGGTTTTTCCTGTAATCCAACATTCTTCAAGGCTGATTTTCTTCTGCCAATTTTGTTAAAAGCGTTTTTTACATGAAAAATGTTCAATCCCAAAATAGAAAATTTGAAAAACCATTGGACTTTTTACTTCTGGGGGCGGGCTTTTCTCTGGAGTCAGAAGTAAGGAAGCAATCACATAACTATTGGTGAAAAGCAAGTGGTCGCATTAGGCTTAAAGTGAAGTGAATGTCTGTATAATGCACTGAATAATACGATTCATGAGAATT